CTATGTTGAAAACAACATTGCAGGATAACGTTAGTCGGATAACTCCAAGGGCTTGTCTGTCGAGAAGAGCCCAGTCTTCATTCTTCATGCCCTCTGGTTGCTTTCCTGAGAGAGGTTGATATAGATTTTTCTGGTACATAAAATCTTCAATCTGCATCTTCCAAAAGCTAAAGTCCGCACCATCGAACTTTTCAATTTTCACCTTCCCTTCGTCTGCAGCCATCGCTCCCACTCGAATTTGTCTTCGTTTGGATCATTTCTGACAATTCTTGCGAACCACCGTGTATTAGAACACCTCCGTCGACAAATTCGTATCGCCGACAAAATTTACTATTCACAAAATATACTATTCATGTGAATAGTAATAAATAGTAACATCGCAAAAAATTGACAAAATTCACAACCAAAAGCTCTGATTATCAGTTGTTGGGAAATAAACGAGTAATTTCCCTATAACCAGATTAGTGAGAATGTGAAATAAAAGCGGAAAAATAATACCCGAAATTGATAACGGAGTTCACCCAATTTTGCTTATGTCTCCGGACTGCTGCAGATCTTTTACTAAAGAGAGAAAATTTACAAGTGTTTACAAAACACTCACAACTCACAAGAAAGCTCTCTAGTATAGGGAGAAATAAATGTTTTTTGAGATGATTTTGAAGCTAAATGGGTGAGGGTATTTATAGTTGAAGCTTAATGACTACTCTTGTAAATACCCTAAAGTGTACAGGGACTAAAATGTAATTAACCCTATTACATTTTAAATAAAAAAATTGGGACACCGAATTGGTGCCCTTTGTGGAAAAACACTCCCCCTTTGTCTGACTTTCACGTTCAACACGTTGCTATAGTGACAATGAAGATAAGAATTTAACTATGAATCACCAAGTGAATAATTTATTATAAAACAATAACATCAATGATAATATCGTTACTTTCGAAACTTTAGTGTTGGAAAAAGAAATTTACTCACATTCCAATAATTATTATTGTAGTTTATTCTTGTTTCACGTGATCAAACGGTATCAAGTAAACCAGTTTAATGTGTCGCATCAATTGGGACAACGACTATTAACATTAGTAATTGTTTTGTTATTTTTAAAGCTTTAGGGTTAAAAAAATGTAATCATAATTCAATGATTATTTAGATAATTTACCCCAAGCACAAGACTGATGGCGAAACGTCTTTGTCTAAGACCAACAGAAAATAAATTGGCAGTGCCCAACCTCTCGTTCAGCCAAACAACCGTAAAGGAATTTATCCAAAACCATTAATTAAAATTCCTGTTAATGAATTCAAGCGCGTGAAGTGAGTAACCCAAATCATGCATCATGCTATACTTACAGTAAAACTTTTAATAAGTAATGTAGTTCAATGTCTGACAATTAAATTTGTATAATTCGTTAATCTACAAATTACTTACGACTGAATATATACATTAAAGACATGATCTATATATATTCTAACCAAGACTGGAAGAGGAATGAACCGCTTACGATCACAATCAATCCATCTTAAACGTACATGCAATTTTCTTTTTCTTCATGATGATCTTTTATCTTCATCCAAACATTGATCAAAGGTCATTCTTTTACTGATTGTGACTTTCCACTTAAATAAAAAAGATATAAATTACCAATTATTGATGAGTTAAATTTGTTGTCATCAAAAATAGTCAAAGCATGTTTAATGTGATGACATTAATGGATGACATTATGCTTTGAAGAATACCCTTCTTTACCGGATCTTGAACAACTTATTTACTCAATTCCCTTCATTGGATCTTTGGTAACAGGCCATGGCTTCTCCTGTGTTAAGGGGCATATTGAAACAAGCAAAAGGGTTTGGCCAAAGGAGATTAGTTTCAATCCAAATCCATGGTGTTCCACGAGATGCAGTTCAGGTTTTCATTCGATTCTTGTACTCTTCCAGGTAATTACAATGTTAAATTTTCTGGGAAAATGAAATGGAAAGTTAAGTTTTCTCTGGTTTCAGTGTCGCTGAGTGGTTGCATCAGGCAATCATGCCACCACGAGCTAATTGTTGAATTTTGCTCTGTAGTTATGACTTATGAGAAAGAAGAAATGAAGGAATTTGTGCTGCCGTTGTTGGTGCTTTCACACGCATATGTTGTTCCTCAGTTGAAGCGAGTTTGTGAACAGCAGCTTGAGCATGGATTGCTTACCATAGACAATGTAGTCGACGTCTTCCAGCTTTCGTTACTGTGTGACGCGCCCCGGCTCTCGCTGATCACTCACGGTAAGATCCGATCGAACTTGAAGACTGTTTCGGCAACCGAAGGGTGGGAAGCAATGAAGGAAAGCCATCCGACACTTGAGAAAGAACTTGTGGAATCCATGAATGATGGAGAAAATGTAAATGGCATTACAATAAGTTCTACTTCCCTTTTATCCATTTGTTGCAGCACTTGGATCTTAATCTTTAAACTCAAATGTTATAAATGCAATTCTCCAGATGCACAAGGATCATAAAACCGGGAAATCAAATGAGCAGCAGATATGCATTCAACTATGCGAAGCGATGGAGGCACTTGTTCACATTTTCAGAGATGGTTGCAGGACAATTGGTCCACGTGATAAGGATTTGAAAGATGACCGAACAACCTGCAAATACGGAGCCTGCAGCAAAGGGCTGGAATTCCTTGTTCGCCATTTTTCTAGTTGCAAGCTCAGAGTCCCTGGAGGCTGCGTTCATTGCAAAAGAATGTGGCAGCTACTCGAGTTACACTCCCGCCTCTGTGCTGATTCGAGTCCCTTTGTGCAGGTATTTTAGAATGTCTAAACTTCATGCTTGATGTCAATCTTAATTCACTAAAACAAACCATTTTCAGGAATTTTATGAGTTTGCTCATACCTAAAATTTTAAAAATTCATTTCGCTAAAGATGAGTAAACAAAGCAAGAAGGACGAAATCAGGTGGAAAATACTAGTGAAAAAAAATATTAAGAACAAAGAGGAGTGAAGGTGCACCATTCTCCGTGTCCTCAAAATCCATCTCTTCAACATAAACCCAACCTTTTATTCAAGCTCTGCCCCTGCTACCATCGACAGCATCGGGTTCATTATTAAAAAAACATATGTACACAATTAAATTCAAATAAACAAATTTCACCCAAGGCTAACGCTAGTACTAATCCCGTTTGAACAAATAGTTCGATTTTTGTACATAGATAGCCTTGAGTCATTTGTAAATATTCTTTTTTATCCTAACTTTGTAAATATTGGTGAAATATGAGACATGTTTTTGACCTGATTTATATAAGGATTTATTTAATATTTATATTTATTACATATTTGAACCCTTGAAATAACAAGAAATTTGAATCTCTTAAACCATAGAAATAATATATTCTTTTCCTAAAAAAATGTATAGGAATATGATCAAAAGATACTATGAAGTAATTTTTGTTTCTTTGGACTGGCGTTTTCTTCATTTCAGTGCCAGATGTATATGATAATGATGGTACCCTTTCAAAATTTTACTCTATCCTTCTTGTTGCATAGTCTCTGGTTTACATAATCAGCCAACAGCTATTTCTCCATGTGAGTTTATATGCTATTTGCCCCACTTCTTTACAGACATGATCCAATATTGACAGGAAATATCTCACAATCAGGAAGATTCTGAAAGGGTGAGCTTCTTCCTTGGCTGCCTTCCCATGAAAATGTTCCTTACCTTCATTCACAAGCAATAAAGTTTTTCGTTCATCATCCTTGATCTTAGCAATCTCTTAGAAACATATTTATGGAGTTGAAGAAATTCCCTACATATCTGGCTTTTTCATATTGTACAACCAATCACGCCTTGCCACATTTTTAAATAATATATATTTTTTAAATAAATCTGGGATGAATACAACACAATATTTGTTAAAAATGAATGCTTACACCCTGACATTTGTAATGCTCGAACTCGAGTCGTAAAGGGATGACAACAAGTCCTTTAACCATTCGCTTAATTCATACAAAATAATATCTAATTTTGAGTTATTAAAAAAAGGATCTTACACATTAAAAAACAATATCTTTGTCCACTCGATACTATAATATTAGTTTTTCAAATTATATTTTATTTTATATAAATTAATATGACACTTGTGAAAATTATTTAAAATTACAAGTTTGATAAACTAATTATATTAATTATATGTTAAATGTAGTTTTTTTCTCAAAAAGTTAAATAATATAACCTTAAAATATTTATATGATTTTTAATTCAAATATTTATGATTTAATATTAAAGTTTAACTTGTTAAATATATATATATATCACAAAAATAATTTGATAAAATATACATCATAATCATCAAACAAAACATTGTACTTTTACATTTCTACTAAATAAACTAAATAAAGTAATACAACATTGCTAGAGTAATGTTATATTTCAATAATTTTATTTTTAATAATAATTTTATATTTTATGAACCAAACACACATGTAACTTATATATATATATATATATATTAAAATTTTAGATCCTTTACTATATTTTATTTGAAAATGTTGATCACCTTTTAAATTATTATTAGTTTATTATTAACCGATTATTTAATAATTATAAGAAACTAAGACAAATTTTTAATTCATATATTTATAATTTTATCAATTTTAATCTTAATATTTAAAATTAAATAAAAATTGTATTTAATCAAATAGTATATTTTCAATAATTTATGTTGACAATTTTTAAAGGTTCAATAAATGAAAATATAAATATAAAATATATTTAAAATCTTTTAATTTTCTGGTCTAAAATTAATAATAAAATTGAACATGTAGATAATGTTTTCAAATAAAAATAATATATTAAGTAAATTTCACATAAAAAAAAGTTTGGGACTAAATTTAATATTTAAAAGAATACAAAGACCTTTGCACATTTAAACCCATTTTTTTTCCAATTAAGTTGTAAACGTCGTCGTTTAGTAAGGAAAAGAAAAACCTGCCCTACTTTTTCGTGAAAAGCCCTGCTGTAAAGGGCCACAAGGTCCTTGAATTTCATAATCTCTATCCACCACCACGGCAGCCACCACCGTCGCCACCAGTCTTCACCCCTCTCTCCTCTCCTCTCCTCTCCTCTCCTCTCCTCTCCTCTCATCTCCTCGTCTCGCCTACCAACTCTCTCTCTTCTCTCTCTGCATATCCTCCGTCGAATCATCTCCGAAACCTCTTACTTTCCCTTCTTTCTCCACCACCACCACCACCACCAACAACAACATAAAAGAAAGCCTTCGGTTAACGGAGCTAAAGAAGCCGAAATCCTGGCTCAAAAGATTGGAAAATCCAATAGGCGCCCTGGCGCTCCTTCTAAATCTAGGGTTTACTCTGATGTCAACATTATTCGTCCTAGAGAATATTGGGACTACGAGCTCCTCACTGTTCAATGGGGGTATTTTTGTCTTCATATTTTCTCCTCTATCTACAAAGCCGTCATTATCCTTTATACCTAATCTACCCGTATTTTATTTCATTTCATTTTAATAGTTCAAATTTTGTTATTTAATGCTGATTGGCGTATGTGAGTTTGAATCTTAGTTTTTTTTAATTCTACACTGGCTAGAAAGTTCTGTTAAACTTCATGGTTAGCGGACAAATCATAGAAAATTGGTTAATTGATTGATTAGAGTACCGTTTTTGGCAGCGAACAGGATGATTACGAGGTGGTGAGGAAAGTCGGGAGAGGGAAATACAGTGAGGTGTTTGAGGGGATTCATATTACGGACAATGAGAAATGTGTCATCAAGATTCTCAAACCTGTCAAGAAGAAGAAGGTTTGTATTGCTTAAAATTGATTTTTGTGTTAAATGTCAGTTGGTTTGATTAAAAATGACTGTTTTTAATGCAGATTAAGAGGGAGATTAAAATACTGCAGAATCTTTGTGGAGGGCCCAATATTGTGAAGTTGCTGGATATAGTTAGGGATCAGCAATCTAAGACTCCAAGTCTTGTATTTGAATATGTGAATAATACGGATTTTAAAGTGCTTTATCAGACGCTATCTGACTATGATATTCGATATTATATCTATGAACTTCTGAAGGTAAGTACAAGATTTTTCTTGTTTCTTTGTTTCTTCTGAAATGCTATTGACATTGAAATTGAAGTTGAAATGAGACGCATATTTGTATTCTCAAGTCATGTTTCATTTGTCTTGGAGCTCTTGGGGCAGTAAAATTTTAAAGTTCAACCTAGGTGAATAGGCCAGAGGTCACAGTGGGGGACGGGACATGATTTCCTTTGGTTCTGATACGTTGCTTCTAGGTCAAAGAAAGAGAAGTATATCTCCTTTGTTTAAACTTCAAACTGGATCTAAATGTAGCCATTTTCCCTGTCACCGAATGTTTATCTCATATAAATCTAGAAGGTATCATTGCATTGAGACGGTGGGTATAGGCCTTGTCTATGCTACCTAAACTTGAGTGTATGTATTTGACATGGCTATACTCAATCTTTTCTCTCTCTCAATGTTTTTGATTGATCTTTTCCCTTACTCCATAGGTAAATATTTGTCTGAAAGAAATGCTTCAGGGAAAGTGAAGACTCTTTAACATACCTTCTGCAATACGTGCTTGAGCAGTTGGATTATTTTGAAACACATATTGGTTCTAATTTTAAGAAAGCATAGAAATTGCCCAGATATCTTTGCAATTTGATAATGCCATTTTGACAATAGATTAAAAAAATTAGTGTTAGTATCCAAGATTATACCCCAGATGTTTTAATTTGTTCCTATTTATTTGGAATTGGAGAATCTTATATGAGGATAGATGCCATAGACTGGAAGGATTTTATATGTGCACGGTTTCCTAAATATTTAAATATGCATAGATTGATTTTGTGACATTATGAATATAAATATGCAATCTTGTGGATGCTGTCATACTTCCTGCTGCAATTGATGCGTTATATTATTAAAATTCTTTACTGGATGCTTTTCTGCCTGTCATAATTGAAAATTTGCATAAGGTGTTTGACATAGTCAATTGTGACAATTGCTATTTTATGATACGTAATTGTTGTCTGTAGAACCTTCTGTGGTGTAATCACAGTTTTTTAAACTTTAGCTGATGTTTGTGCATGATTATTTGCCATGGATTCAAAAACATTCAGCAGATCTAGATTTCTTTATAAGAAATGTAAATTGGCATTTTTTATTTTCTTAGTAAAGAAAAGAGTTCAAATTTTAACTTTTGTTGGTCTTTATTTTAGGCTTTGGATTATTGCCACTCACAAGGTATTATGCACCGAGATGTGAAGCCCCATAATGTGATGATTGATCATGAACAGAGGAAACTTCGTCTTATTGATTGGGGCCTTGCAGAGTTCTATCATCCTGGGACAGAATATAATGTTCGTGTTGCTTCCAGGTGTGTATCCCTTTTGGCGTTTTGTCCTAAGTTATAAGTTGTTCAAGTGGCCAATATACATTTTAGCAGTCTGTTTCCCACAGCCTTTTGATTAGAACTACTTATCTGTCTTAAATATAGCATTACCAAAAGATCCTTAGTTGTTTTTGAATTGGATAGTGGTTATCTTTTTGAGGAAATGCCTTTTCACTTGCCAATTCGCGGTGTTCAAATTCGTTGAACACAGCCACAAAACCTGAGGTTGCATTACTTGTGATTCAGGTCAAAAATAGGAGAAGAAGGTGAAGCGTAGTGCTGTTATAGTAGCCTGCCTTCACTTTAAAAATTACAGCTGAATACTGATGGTATGGAGCTAGGCCATCGCCAAGAGATGCATTCCTGAGTATTATTTAAAGATGATCATTTTAGTGGATTTCATAATTCTTGTTGCCATTTGTAGCAAGTCTATCAGCTTCTTCCTTTTCGGAATCAAGCTTTCTTTGTATTAAAAATACTTTTTTCTAATTTATATGTTATTTTTCTTTCCTTTATACTTCATTCCTTGTTTGCAGATATTTTAAAGGTCCCGAGCTTCTTGTCGATTTACAGGACTATGATTACTCTTTAGACTTGTGGAGCCTTGGTTGTATGTTTGCTGGAATGGTGAGTGCTACCTTTAGATTATTTTACCCTTTTAGTCTTTATATCACTTCCTCAGATGCAGGCTTTCATAATCGTTACCCTGGTTTTTTATATATCAAATTCTCTTCCTGTACGTTTGTGGTTTTATGCAAGTAGAGCTGGACATATCTTTTGGAGAGCCTGATTATCATGATTTCACTGCTCAAAAGCCACCCTCAATATATGGTATTTGGCCATCAGGAAAATAAAATCTATTTGACCCTAGAATATGTTTAAATATTAACCGGCCTGCATTTTAATGGGGTAGAAAATCTCCATAGATGAGTGTATCTTTATCTGCTTGCGCATATACTATCCATGAGTGGCAGATAACCGTGGAGGATCGTAATTTTATATATCACCAAGGTTTTTGATGCCTCTCTCTTGAAATGCTTATTTTTAATGTTGTGCTATACAGATATTCCGGAAGGAGCCATTCTTCTATGGGCATGATAATTATGATCAACTGGCCAAGATAGCCAAGGTATGTGAATCCGTGGGTGTTTTAAGTAACAATGAACAGGCATGGCCGTATACATCCTTGTAATAAGATAGTTCTGTTTATGATGCATGTTTAGATATTTACTTCCTATTCATTATTGCTGCTGTTTTTTAGAAATGTCGTACTTATATCATGCGCTACTGAGGTCTTGGGCGAGAGTCCTTTTCTTTTAGTTGGAAATAAAATTGATTCCTATTGTTCTCAGATATTTTAATTTCCTTATCAGGTTCTTGGGACAGATGAATTAAATGCTTATCTGAATAAGTACCGCATAGAATTGGATCCACATCTTGCAGCCCTTGTTGGGAGGTTGGTGGTATATGATCTTTATGTCAAATTGATCTTGCTGAAGTGCTGTTATTTCCAATTGAGAAATATACTTTTCTTGATACAGGCACAGTCGAAAACCTTGGACAAAGTTCATCAATGCTGAGAATCAGCATCTGGCATTACCTGAGGTAGTATATTTAGCAAGTTCTTGTACTATTCAGATTGTTCTGTGTACTGTTTTTTATCTTTAACTTTCACTTGTTTTTTATTGTAAGGCCATTGACTTCCTTGATAAGTTGCTTCGATATGACCATCAAGAAAGGCCAACTGCAAAAGAAGCAATGGTAAACTCCTGATCGTTGTGAACCTATTGAACAATACTTCTGTATTTACCGGACCCCACTTTTAAGATAATATATGTACAGTGCATCTGTAGGCACCTAGCAGTGGTGTTATCTTTTAATGAGATGATTTATTTGTCATGCAGGCTCATCCTTATTTTAACCCAGTTAGGAACGCCGAAAGCAGCAGAACTTGTCCCTAACATGCTAAATTTGTGAAGCTGTCAAGCCACGGCATCTTATCTTCATTGTGCCATGCTTTGCTTGGGGAAAGATCCTGCCTGTGTAGTCCGACTGAAGATTTGGTGTTAGAGCTTTTGAGTTTAAGAAATCTTTGAAATATGTTTTATCTGTTTTTTACAACAGAAATTTCTGTTCATCATTCCAGAATTACGTATTTGCTCAAATACTTGCGAGTTCTTTCTATAAGAACATTTCCTAAATCTGATTTGAGTGTACAATAATCTTCATCCCGGATCTGATACTATATTAAAAACAGAGGTAAATTGTAACCCCTGGACCCGGCCTAAACGGTAGGATTGTAAACGAGCTGAGTAGAGTTTGAGTATTGTTGATTTTGACTCAACTTGAAAACTCTAAAATGGAGCTCGACTTAACTTGAAAACTCGTGAGTCTAAAATTTTTAAATTCGCCTTAAATTTGAAATCATGAATTGAAGCTCGTAAAAGCTCAAAAAATTCAAAATGGAAAAAAAATCTTAAACTTAACTCGATCGAAGTTTCAAACTAGAACATGAATATTAAGTACATAAAAATCTTATATTGCATTTTTTCAAAAAGCAACAAATAAATGTTAATATTATTAATAATTAATAATAAAATCTTAATATATTATATTTTTGAGTTGTTTGCCAGTTTTTTGAGTTGAGTATCAAGTAACTAGTTAGGCTTGTTAAGAACTTGAGTCGACTATATTCGAGTCGAGTATTTATCGAGCTTTGGTCGAGTTGATCTCAAGTAACTCACGATCTGTCTCGTCTTATTTACAACCCTACTAGATGGTACAACTGAGTGTAGAAGGTCGCATATCGTATTAAGATATCATTTCCATTTTCAAAATGTAATTGAAATCAATTTCAATGAATAAAATACTTATAATGGTAAAATACAAATATATATATATATATCAACATTAGAAATATGTATGAAAACATGTTCAAAATAAAATATCGGTAATATAGATACATACAAACATACATACATACAATAGTAAAAATATGAGTCACCAAAATATAATAGAGATGAGCATAAGAGAATATACAGTGGTATACAAATGGAGAACAATTGATCCTCTTGATGCCAAGTCTACTAGCGTACTTTCGGGTAATATCTGAAAAGTTAAAAATTAAAGAATAAGCTAAAAAGCTCAGTGTGCTCATTGTGGTGCATAAAAACATACAGATAAATAATTAGGCAAAAATCATTTTATAAAACATGCTTTTAAAACATGAACACTAGCCCCTTCTGTCTCGTCTTATTTACAACCCTACTAGATGGTACAACTGAGTGTAGAAGGTCGCATATCGTATTAAGATATCATTTCCATTTTCAAAATGTAATTGAAATCAATTTCAATGAATAAAATACTTATAATGGTAAAATACAAATATATATATATATATCAACATTAGAAATATGTATGAAAACATGTTCAAAATAAAATATCAGTAATATAGATACATACAAACATACATACATACAATAGTAAAAATATGAGTCACCAAAATATAATAGAGATGAGCATAAGAGAATATACAGTGGTATACAAATGAAGAACAATTGATCCTCTTGATGCCAAGTCTACTAGCGTACTTTCGGGTAATATCTGAAAAGTTAAAAATTAAAGAATAAGCTAAAAAGCTCAATGTGCTCCTTGTGGTGTATAAAAACATACAGATAAATAATTAGGTAAAAATCATTTTTTAAAACATGCTTTTAAAACATGAACACTAGCCCCTTCCGAACACCAGAATGTGTAGGTTCCCTTGAACCATACACCCACTTGTATACCCATTAAAGACCTTATATCGATAGCATAAGGGTCCGCATTAAATACTTCACATTTGCATAAAGCAGAGGAGCATACGGTAAGGTCTTACAAGTCATAGACTAAGCATGAGATACTTCCTCCAATCATAACCCTCAATGATAGCAATTATGCATATGTTTGAGTGAAAACAATAATTCAATTTATTAACACATTAAAACATGTCATATACCAGAATTAGATACATAAATACGGTAACCAAAGATCATGTTTGAAGTATATGGTGAATTAGATATCATGCAATTAGAATATTTAATATAATCATAATTTTAAAATAGTTCAGACAAATAGTTCAAAATATTTTTGTAACACCAATAGGAACACACCTGTATCGATATGAGAAGTCAGACACGGTAGCCTACTCTCGGGTCTATTGATAACTCCGTAAAAAATACTACATTTTCTGTCTTTTTACTTAAGTTATTGTGTGTCTAAAAGCCGTTGTCATAGCATATTAGTTGCATTTAGGTCATATTTGCATGTGGTGGGTAAGTTTTGTTTAGGCAAGATTTATTTGGCTTAAGTGATACTGCCGAGGAGGAAGGTTCTTTGTTGGCTGTATTGATGCAGGAAATAACGAAAGAAGAATTTATTTGCCGAGACAACAACTATTTCCCAGGGCAAGAGGAACATAAGAAGACGACAGTGAGGAATAAATTTATCTTGCAGATCTGACGTGGCTCAACAATTGATGACGTCATTTCCCCAGCTTCACCCTCACGTGTAATCACGCCCTTCAAGAAATTGACCACCTCCAGCCGTCTTTCTATTTATAGCATGGGAAAGTCAACAAGGGTATTTAGGGAATATCCAAGGACACAAAACCCTAGGAATTCACATTATAAATACCCCATTATAGCCACCCAGGATGAGGATAAGCAAGGAGAGGATTTAACTTAGGCGTAGAGTAAGCAGATGCAGTACCTAACCTTCCACCGTTCCCCCACTCGACCGTCTTTGGTGCTCTCCATAGCCAAACTTCATCAGAGCAGCGACTAGGTCCTCGAGAGAGGCTAGCCGCTGGGGCAGGCATACCGATGGTTAGAATGTCACAACATAGCTCTGTTTGGGAGTATTTCTTCCTTTGTTCTTAATTTTCAGTTTACTTGAAGGGGCTTCTACTTAAAGTTTAAATTTTTGGATGATATTTGCCATGCCATGAACTGTTTTACTTGGTGTTGGTTATGGTTTTGATGAAACGTTGTTTAATGCTTTTACTATGAAGAAGTATGTCAGGTAGAGTCATCCCATGACTGCTTTCATTCACTCATATGCATCCAGCTGCCATTTATTCAAGGGGTTTTAGGCAAGAGTGTCTCTCTACAGTTATGCCGAGGCATTTATTCGAAATTAACCACAATTAACAAACATATGAGAGTTTGATTTAAGCAATTAAGTTCATTCACATTAAGATAAACTAAGGCATTCAAGCTTTATTTCCTAAAAATTTCTAACCCTAAGCACATAGAGCATATAATTGTGTAATAATTTAAAACATAAACAACCAAGTCCTTAAAGCAAATCTTATCCAGCTCCAAAGTCATGTACATTCAGTTTATGATAGCCATAGGGATATATCATCATTGCATATAAAAAACTATTGATTATCACGAATGAAAATGCTAACTATGAACACTATCTCGCCCAAACTTGAAGGATGCATTGTCCGCAATGTATAAAAACGATAATAAAAACTAAACTATATGCTATGATATGCAATACAAGGTACCTTGGCTATCTATGATAGCGGTAGTGCGGTGCTTGTCTTGTGTTTGGGATACTTCTTTAGTGGGGTAGGGCTCGGTTGCTCTGACTCCAATTCTAGCTCAACATGTGGAGTGACATCGCCTTCCATCTCAGTAACAGGTGGGAGCTTTGCACGTCCAATGGTCCTTTTCAAATGATGTCTGGTCGACCGTTGGGGAGATTGTTGCGGCATCTCGAGTTGCTGGGGCATTTCGATAGTGGGCTCGACAATATTATGTTGGGATTTAGGGGTTGTTTAGGTAAAGATGGGGTAATATCCTCTGCTTTGTCAGCGATTTCTTGCAAGGATCTTGCTGAAAATGTTGTGGCCTTATTAAACGTAGGCAGTATGAACTCAATGAAGGTAGGGAAGTCATACATTGTTTGGGTAAGCATCTCCTTGAAGTAGGACTCTAAAACTGCTTCACGTAAGTGAATAACGTCCGTAGATCACGCGTTAGGCCACCGACCTGCGATAAGGACTTAAAGCAGAGGTGCTTGTGGTAAGGTCTTACAAGTCATAGACTAAGCTTGAGATATTTCCTCTAATCATAACCCTCAATGATAGCAATTATGCATATATTTGAGTGAAAATAGTAATTTAATTTATTAAAACATTAGAACATGCCATATACCAGAATCAGATACAAAATACGATAACCAAAGATCATGTTTGAAGTATACAATAAATCAGATATCATGCAGTCAGAATATTTAATATAATCAGAATTTTAAAATAGTTCAGAGAGATAGTTCAAAACAACACTGTAACACCAATAGGAACACATCTGTATTAGTTTGAGAAGTCGAATAAGGTAGCCTACTCTCATGTCTGTCTATCACGGTTAGCGACAATGCTAGATCCTACGAATCGGAATAATTGTATCAAAATCCTATTAAAATAAATAATAAACTTTAATCAAACAATTTAAGGAAACTTAAGAGTAGCACTCAAAGAACGCATATTATACTGGTCTACTAGACATGAAGCATCGGATCTAGTCGATCCTCGATCAGGGGAATCACGAGTACCTTTATGAAAATATAATCTCAGATCAATTTCATAATTAAATCTCAAATAAATATGCAAAATGCTAAAAATACTAAGTATATTCGATTTAACGAGCTTGATTCGGAGATTTTAGATAAAAATTTGGAAAATGGACTGTAAAATCAAACTTATGACGTTGAAAAACATCAAGAGGGGATTTTTAAAAAATTCAATGTCGGTTAACAGTCAAAGTCAATATTGGTTAACGATCAACAACGACCGTCAACGGTCAACTAAATCAACTTGGCTTTGGTTCGGTTGGATTTGTTCGGTTTGGTTTGAAAATTGGGTTGGTATAAGTTTAGGATGATTTGGTTTTGGGACGGACGATTCGGGTCGTACGGGTCAGCAGGTTGGGTTGACCTATTTCTAGAAGGCCACTAGGTCGTGGACAATCATCACACGCAACATCGACGCGTGGGGCGCATGCGGGGTCTTGGGATTTCGAAAAAGTTACAAAAAAATTTAAATTATTTTGAAGCGTTTTGAGACACTTACCAACATCGGTGCACAACAGTGAATGGAGGCGAGCTAGATTAACCT